GTCTTTATTTTATCTATTATAATATTTTTAGTTACGTGAACTATCCATATAGCATGACCATATGAATTATTATTAAAACTTTTCTCATCTCAAAAATAAATTGATCTATTGAAGTTATTTAATTAAATATTTTCTCATTTTTTTTATAAAATTTTTCTTAAAAATATATAGATATTTAATTATTTTAAATTTAATTTAAAAAAGAGTAACTAATTATTAACTAACATAAATAAGTTTATAGTAAAATTACTACATGTCTTTCTCCTTATTCGTGAAGTAAAAGACTTTCAATTGTAGCTACAACAAACTTTATTTCGAGATAACCATTTATATCACATTCGTTATTGGTGAAATTGAGCATAGTTGCGTTAGAACCATTGAAAGTTGATACAGACAATGTAATGTAAGAGTTCAGTCCTTCACTTAGCTTGCTAAAGAGATATTATTCCCAAATGGATCTTTAGGAAGAAAACGGAAGCTTTCGTCACTTCAACAAACTCACTCTCTCCATTCCATGACACCACACTTGCAGATGGATAGATGTTACCTCCATATACATAGCATATACAATTAATTAAGGAACATATGATAAGATAAAAATCTACTGACTTTAACTTCAAATTTACAGTGTGTGGCTGCAATATATTTGCCATTAACTTCATTAGACCAATATTCATGTGAAGCATATCAAATTAATCCAACAAACAAAATCTGCTCTACCGAATGCTTATAACTCCAACAACAAAAACAACAACTAAGCCCTAGTCCCAAATATTTTGGATTACGCTATATAAATCTTCACTGATCATGTTACTCATATAAACTCATCGCAGACTAATATTATACAACATAAAAATAAAATAAAAGGTAGCTGTAATACTTTACATGCAAAGCTCTGACATGCAAAGCTCTTCTATAGTCAACAATGATCTATTTATATATAACTATTGTCAGAAGTAGACGAAACCCCAGAAATGTAAGAGTTGTTTCCGCTGGAGTCATTAGTACCCTTATCTTTGCAATGGGCTCCTACTTTGTAAGTGTGGATCGAATTACACCTTAGTGATTTTTCTGTATATGACTGTTCAATCTAAGACTGGTCAGAAAATAACACAAGTTTTCTTGATTAATTTTACACTTTACAGTCATAATTATAGGTTTCATAACACCTTCACACATTAAACCAAGTAGTAGTGGGTGTTATATTAGGATTAAGTTTTTTTATTTTCTGGCTCTGGTTATGGAATGGCGTAGTCATGAAGAAATTTATAGTCCACTTTTGGGTTCGGATTGGGTACATACTATCAGACTAAGATAAAACACATAATATATATAGTTGTATAGTAATTGACAATAGTTAAACTATACAAAAAGAACTTCTCTACCTGTCATTATTTTGCATATCACATCATGTCTATTGCTCTCATACGAATTAAATTTGGAAGATGGTATAGAGGAGAAGTTGGTTTGCCATGGATGAAAAGCAGTGCCGGCTAGAGGGTAAAGCCAATGAAGCAATGGCTTTAGGCCCCAAAATTTCTAGGGCCCTGTTTTTTAGATTAATAATAGGTTAATACTAAGGTAATTTTTCCAAAATATATTTGAATATTTATGGTAAAAAAGTATTAAGATTTTTCTAAAAAAGAATAGAGATTATTATTTAGCCAATGTGACTTATGATGACTAATACTTAATTTGCACTTTCATACTAATATTCTTCTTCTTTTTCTTTCTCAAAATAAAACTTGCGTTTTATAGTCTACTTTTCCCCTGTTACTAAGGTGTCTATTCTCTAAAAAGATAAGGGATGAAAGTGGTAAAAGTTTACCTACACCAGATGTTTATACCAGGCCGATGAATGTAAGATATATCTCATGCACACATATTTTATTGCACTTAACCGTAGTTGAGTGATATACATTTTCACTTTGATTTGTTGATTCTTAAGGTTAATTATTTGGTTAGGTGCAAACTAGCGTCGATGAGTATTTATCGATAGAAGACATGAATAAATTAAAACTGCTTCATTTTTATTTTTTTAAGCATTGCAGCAACAATAAAATTTATCTTATATCAGGTTATTGACTTCTAGAATCAAGTTCTAGTGTTCTAACATACTACTAGTTTTTCATTTAAATTTGAAGTTTATTATTTTTAAGTTTAAGGCCTGTCAAAAGAGTTTGGCTTTGGCTTTAGGCCTCTAGTGTTCTTGAGTCGCCTCTGATAAAAAGCAAGAGCGGGAAAATATTAAAAGGTTTACAGGAGAAGTTGGTTTCTTATGTTGTGCCATGTAAAATCAGTTGCTATTTTTTTTAAAATTTTAAAAATTCTGAAATTTTGAATTCTGAAAAAAGGGGTCCTTTATATTTTTTAAATAAATTGCAAACTCCAACAAAGTTGGAGAATTGTCCAAAAAATTTACATGTGACAATTTTTTTTTGTGCCACTTGTCATCATAACATTTCTTTGCCTCTCCTATTATATATAAATGCTCTCATACAGATTAAATTTGGAAGATGGTATAGAGGAGAAGTTGGTTTGCCATGGATGAAAAGCAGTGCCGGCTAGAGGGTAAAGCCAATGAAGCAATGGCTTTAGGCCCCAAAATTTCTAGGGCCCCATTTTTTAGATTAATAATAGGTTAATACTAAGGTAATTTTTCCAAAATATATTTGAATATTTATGGTAAAAAAGTATTAAGATTTTTCTAAAAAAGAATAGAGATTATTATTTAGCCAATGTGATTTATGATGACTAATACTTAATTTGCACTCTCATACTAATATTCTTCTTCTTTTTCTTTCTCAAAGTAAAACTTGTGTTTTATAGTCTACTTTTCCCCTGTTACTAAGGTGTCTATTCTCTAAAAAGATAAGAGATGAAAGTGGTAAAAGTTTACCTACACCAGATGTTTATACCAGGCCGATGAATGTAAGATATATCTCATGCACACATATTTTATTACACTTAACCGTAGTTGAGTGATATACATTTTCACTTTGAGTTGTTGATTCTTAAGGTTAATTATTTGGTTAGGTGCAAACTAGCGTTGATGAGTTTTTATCGATAGAAGACATGAATAAATTAAAACTGCTTCATTTTTATTTTTTAAAGCATTGCAGCAACAATGAAATTTATCCTATATCAAGTTATTGACTTCTAGAATCAAGTTCTAGTGTTCTAGCATACTATTAGTTTTTCATTTAAATTTGAAGTTTATTATTTTTAAGTTTAAGGCATGTCAAAAGAGTTTGGCTTTGGCTTTAGGCCTCTAATGTTCTTGAGTCGCCTCTGATGAAAAGCAAGAGCGGGAGAATATTAAAAGGTTCACAAGAGAAGTTGGTTTCTTATGATGTGCCATGTAAAATCATTTACTATTTTTTTTTTTAAAATTTTAAAAATTCTAAAATTTTGAATTCTGAAAAAGGGGTCCTTTATATTTTTTAAATAAATTGCAAACTCCAATAAAGTTGGAGAATTGTCCAAAAAATTTACATGTGACAATTTTTTGTTGTGCCACTTGTCATCATAACATTTCTTTGCTTCTCCTATTATATATAAATGGAATTTTTACCTCCTATAGCAAATGTTAACACCTTATTTATTTTAACTAAATATCATTTTAAAAAAAATTATATTCTATAGATACATTTTAATGTTTATAGCAAAATATCTAATTTTGGTTACCTCCTAAATACGCTATTTAGTTACACTATTTTCTTTCTCTCTCTACTTTGATACATCCCATTCTCTTCTCCCATCCCATTAAAATTTCCGCTCTCCTCCTCTTTCTAACGGCATCTTCTCTTTGATTCACTTTATCTAGGGTTTTTGATTGCTCTAGGTTTTGGTTTTTGTAGTGTAATTTTTCCTGAGTATATATTATCTTCTTTGATCGTTTTTGGGGTCTTTTAATCGTTCTATCGGGCTACGATGAACTGATTCTTTGGTTTTTAGTATTTGAATTCTTCTATTAATTCAATTACCTGTAGCAATCAAAAACCCTATATCAAGAAGAATAAGGATATGGTCAAATAAGGAGAAGGCCGACAAGTTGAAACAGTCACTTCCTCCAGGTTTGAGTGTGCAAGATCTTTGAAGATGGAAGGACTATTTGGCTACAAGGCGAAAATTAGGGTTTGTTCTTGAGCAAAGACGATGGAGTTTGGGGCTGAGCAACTTGATTTTCTGTTAATATATTTCAATGTATTTTCAACGTATCACGCTGTATTTTCATGTATTTCATTGTATTCATTGTCTTTTTTTTTCCCATTGTAATTCAATGTATCTCGTTGTATTCCGTGTATTTCATTGTATTCGCTGTCTTTTTTTCCATTGTATTTCAATGTATCACGATGTATTCTATGTATTCATATGTTTTTTTAATTAATATAATTTATGTATTCAAATATATTATATAATTTCTCTGAAGATTGCTATATTTTTGGGATTTTTTCAAGCTGACAATCTTTTTTATAACCGAAAATACAAATTTTGTGTGTTATAATTGAGTTTGTTGAGTTATATTAGGAGTCTATTATGTTAATTGATACACTTTCCGTTTAAAAATAGTATAATCCTCTTTTTCACGCCGTGAATACAGTCGAATATAATCGAATACAGTAATCTATCCAGCTGTAATCCCATGTTTCACGCCATGAATACAGTCGAATACATTCGAATATAACAACTGATTAGTTGGACTTCCCTGATTCATGCCTATTTTTGCTACTGTATGAATACAATAGCTTAAATACATCAAATACATCATATAACCATAGAAAAGATATCTATAATCCGTAATATAGTAAATGGTATCCATAGATGACTAATTACTACTAAAAGATAGTTCTTTATGAAAATTTTTCTATATAAATAGATACATAGATTTGTTTTTTTATTTTTAAAAAGTCTGGATAGGTCTGATTCGGTCAGACCTTTAATTGAGTCTTCATTCCGTTCAGAGGTTTAAAATACCGAAAATACCCGCCTCTTTTATCGGTGCTCCTTTTCTCTCTCTTGACATCGGGCTATTTCTTCTAAACCCAAAACAAATTTCATCCTTTCACACGTCTCTCTCTTTAAGGATCAAGCAGCCGCCGAATCTTTTTCTGGGTAAGATTTTGAAAATTATACTTGGAATTCTCCATCTTGTTTCCACTTTTCTAGTGGTAAATTTCAGTTTCAGTTTAGGGTTTAATAAAACCCCTTTTAAAATACGATTGAGAAGGGGCTAAACTAGAAGGTTTTGCTTGCCTCTTATTTCACTTTTGGATATTCTATTTTGATTGAATCTCTGAATTTTCTGTAATTTTTCTTGATTTTGTTGACATCCCGTCTCTAAATCGTAAATCTTAATTGGGACGTTTTCTAAATTGTTAGCAATGTTTTTTTCTCTTTTGCAGATTCACATAGTCCCTTTTGAACATAGTCCCTTTTGAACGTTCTTTTGTTTTCTTCAAGAATTGCATATTAGTGACTGAAATTCAATTTCTCTAGTTGAAATATAAACCGTAATTGGTGTTTATGAAGCTCGTCCAAAATTAATAAACTTTGCTATGGCTAGAATTCGGATAATGAAGTTCTGTGTTGTTGAAATAGAGACGCTATAGTTTCATATTTGGCTAGAATTCGGATAATGTATACACATAAGTAAGATTTATATTTCAGTGCATTCTGAATATTTATGTGCTATTGCTTTTGAATTATTCGTCATATGTTATATGTTTTATAATTGAACCATGCTTTCTTTTGTTTATTCAAGAATAGCTTCTTTACTTCCTCAATTTTTTTCCTATTTTGTGTTTAAGATCATACCATTTACTACATCTTTGCAATCTTCAAACATATTATTTGCTTAGAAATATACAACTTATGTTCATGGGTGGCTGGGTGAGGCTAGTAAAGCCTTCACTTTAGGCCCCAAAAATTTTGAGGCCCCAAAAAGTGTTGTAAAATACGTAATAATATTTTGACTTAGACAATTCTGAACTTTGTAGAAAAAAGTATAAATCCGTGTTAAAAAGGTTTTTGAAAAAACAAAGAATATTTACTTTTTAACATAAGAAATATTCTAGAACTTCGAATTAAACTACTCAAATTTTTGTATTAGCAAATAAAGTTTTTTACATCAAGATCCAAGGTAATGCATTGCAAACATATGGCTAACATCTTATTAATTTGAATTAACACTTGTTGATATAAATAATAATATTACTAAATGAAGCTAAAAGTCATATATCTTGTATGAATACTTTACGTTCAAAATATTTTTTTGGTTACATTTCGTTACTACAATTGTTGTTATTATATATAATTTTTATTTATAGTTCAAATAGTTTAACAATTGGATCTTACATAAGATGTGGTATGCAGATCTGAACACTGAGATTAAGATGTGGTATGCAGATCTGAACACTGATATTAGGATGTTGAAAAACAAACAATCTTAATCATTCAGTGTTCAGATCTGCATACCACATCTTAATATTCAGACATGCATTCATATTCAGACGTCTTAATCTTAAAAAAAAACAAACGAGGCCTCAGAAGCATTCAACCAAAACTTATAATGGAACTAAGTACATCCATTTCTTAAAGTTCTATTAAGTTTCTATAGTTATAATTGTCACGAATACCACCAATGTCCATAATAACACAAAGCATATGACAAAAAGTAATTAGTTTACAATAAGAACTGGCGTACGAAGAAAATGAATAAATTCTTGTGCCTTTGATTTTCAAATAGAAAGGCATTATTTATCAAATTTAGATTAATATGAAATTACTGAAAACAAAGTCAAGGTATATACGTACAAGATAATTTTTGTTGTATTGGGCCTAGTTTAATTGAGAGATCAAAAGATAATTACTTAAATTCTTTTTTGCTTATCCTTCTTTATTTTGCTAATTTATCTGCTGATGTTAACTTTGAATTCAAGGTATCCATTGCCGGGAAACCAAATCAGACATCTTTTTTAAGAATTGAAATTTAGGACAGTGGACTAAAAATTATTACTATGGAATTGGAAGAAACATCTCTGTCTATATTTTAAATGCATTACAAATGTAGGCTATATTTTAAACAGCAGCCTCTAAAAGTGGCTAGAGTGCGGTTAACCCGTTACCAGAGCAGACGGAAATTTTCTCCATTGCCGGAATAGAGAAATCTGGAGAGATGGCTGTTTCAAGAGCACTCAGAAGGTTCTGGAGAAGCTATTCAACGGTTTCGTCGGAGCGACTACGCTTTTGCATCGTCGGCAGCGGACCTGCCGGTTTCTACACTGCTGATAAGGTACCGTACCTCTATCACTGCTTTGAATTTTCTACAAATTTCTCATATTTCCTATTGTTGCAACTGAATTTAGGAACTTAGAATTTTTTTTGTCGACTACTATTTGACAGATATTGAAAGCTCACGAGAGAGCTGAAGTAGATATAGTGGATCGGTTACCGACGCCATTTGGATTAGTCAGGTCCGGAGTCGCTCCTGATCATCCTGATACCAAGGTCTTTTACTTTCTGGGAAATAAATTTAGCTATAGCTGCTTGAAAATCTTTTTATTTTCTATTTAAATGCACAAGTTTGCATCTTGTAATATTATTTGTGCAGTTCTCTAATAATAATCCCTCTATTTTATAGTATGATATATTACTATTTGGAGGAGGACATAAATTTTGCTGTGACCATATTTTTTTCAATAACGAATTCCCATCTTGTATTTCACTAAACGAGTAAATCAAAGCAATTTTTGAGTAATTAACAGAATGCTTCTATTTGAGACAATGAAAGCAATGAATTGGAGCGTTGAACAATAACCTTTTGGACATTTTAAAGTTTAAAACTTCATGAGATACTGCTCTTATTTGTGCTTAGTTTACCAGAATACTTGCAACAGATTGTGACAAACCAGTTTTCTCGGGTTGTTCAAAATGGACGTTGCTCGTTCATTGGGAATGTGTTGATTGGAACTTCCATATCATTGGCTGAGCTGCGTGAATTATATGATGTGGTAAGACTTTACATAGTGATGAGGAGGCATTTGATTCTCTGACATTTTTTACTTGTTTAGTGTAGTATGTATTAATCACCAGATTCGAAGTTAACTTATCATTTCACAGGTGGTGCTTTCTTATGGAGCTGAAAGTGATCAAGCTCTAGGAATACCAGGAGAGGTATGTGTACTCAACGGGCTTCTTTCCTTTATAATTAGTGTCTTAGGGAATAAATATTACTGATGGTGTCTTTTGATCACTCTTCTACTACTTTGCATTTGTTATTTCGTAAAGAAACATAGTTTCTGTTTAACCATCTAGCAGTGCATGTCTTGTAGGAGTTGGCTGGTATATACGCTGCCAGAGAATTTGTTTGGTGGTATAATGGGCACCCAGACTGCCGAAATCTGGCACCAGATTTGAAGAGCTCCGATATTGCTGTAATTATTGGTCAGGTATGTCTATAATGCCCATAATACTGTTACATGTGTTAGCCGCAGTGCAATTATGGTAAAGTTGTACTTCTAAGGAACACTACCGATGTTTTTAGTTCAATTTTGTTGTCATAGATTATCTCATTGGATAAGTTGGTTGTTTTTCTTTTTCCATTTATTGAACTTTCAATGACATGCGGATTCTTCTACAAGAGAATAAAGTAATAAACCATTATTTGCTTAAATTTAAATAGCATTACCAAGTTCTTTTTTTGGGTTAATAATTGCCGTATGAAATCTTTTCTTCTATCTCTATGCCTGTTGGTATGTCTTTGTCCTGTTGTATAATTTAACCACAGCCAAAGTTTATTTTGTAGACATCATATCTGCTATTGTTTAGAACTGAGGCTAAGGGATAGTTTCTGGTGCTTAGTTGATACATACTGTAACTTGCTCCAAATTGGATGCTTTACTGCATTAGTATGCGCATCAACTCATCAGTTTATAGTCTGAGATGTCTACGGGGAGATTGGCAAATGCATAATTGTCTCACCAGAGATGGTATCTTTTTCATGAAATATTGGCTTTATTTGAAGCAAAGTCTTCTCTAGGAAATAATCTTAGAACTTATTATTTTGCTTAGAACTTTGTATATGAACAGGCACAGGGAAATAGTGCTCCTTTCTAAGTGATTTTTGCACTTCTGTTAAGGGAAATGTAGCTCTTGACGTGGCGCGTATCCTTTTACGACCAACTTCAGAATTGGCAACAACTGATATCGCCTCCCATGCGTTGGCAGCTTTAGAAGAGAGCTCCATTAGGTCTGTCTTCTGTCTTCTGCTTTTGCAATTTAAGTGTCATCACATGTTGTAGTTAAATGATGAGCTTATGCTTGAATATTGTCAGAAAAGTATATTTGGTTGGACGACGTGGAGCAGCACAAGCAGCCTTCACGGCAAAAGAGCTGCGTGAAGTTCTAGGTGAGCTCATACAACTTTTTTTCTGTCTAGGATTGGTGGTTCCCTTCCTCCCACTTCCATTCACCATCTTCGTTTAACTTTACCCTCGCAAGATAATTAGATCCAAATATTGTTTGCAAAAGTAATTAACTTCTTAGATGAAATCTGTGTTGTTTCAGGTATTAAGGATCTATTCATTGAAATTCAGCAAGCAGATTTAAGTAAAACCCCAGTAGATGAGGTACGCTTACTATCTGTATTACTAGTTCAGGCTCCTAAGGAAATGATGTATAAATGTGAAGCCCTTAAACTTTACTCTTTTGTAGCATGATAGCTTCCGTTGCTTTTCTTCAATGCCAAATGTTTTAAGGGAAGTAACTTGCCCCTCCTTTATGCCTCAACTACCATATAAAAAACAAGAAAAAGAAAACGAGGATACAATCACATGATTGAGAGAAATACCTAAATGGTCGGCTAACTACAAGGGTAAGTGTAAATTTGATTCTTCAATGATATCCCAATGGTTTGGTAGTTAAATATGAATATTCTTTCTCACTTGTCTTTTAAACGAAGAAAGTAAAAGATAAGTAAATAAAATGCAAAACCGAGAATAATGTGCAGTGACGGGTCTTGTTGAGAAAAGAGAAGCCTATCTGGCTGAGGAAACTAATCGGATGTGTTAAGAGTCCAAATTGGTTGACGGAGTGAGTTGTTGTCTCCTCGTATAGTTTTGGGAAAGTTCCACCTCATGAGCTAGCTTTCGAGGTTGAGTTAGAACCAAGGCTCATGTTTCTTCACATGATATCGGGGTGTCTTCGATCTTGGTAGAGACTAAAACAGTTTTCACTACTCCTCAAAAAAAAAAAAGGTTTTCACTACTTGCCGGTCGTGCAAGTCAAAAATATGAAAAACAATTTCTGCAAAAACTCTTGTCTCAACCAAAAACGTTTTTTCATTTTTTTAAGCAAACACCACCTTAAAGTTAAGAGGGATTTGATGAGCTTTGCTCCAAGAGTTTCACTATTGCTTCAGACATCAAAAAAGAGAAAAAGGAATTTCACTATTGTTTCGATGCACTAATGTTATGCTTAACTCTCCCCCAAGTTGAGTATTCTGTTCTTTTGTTTTGTATGCAAAGGAAGAACTAAAGAGTAACCGGATTAAAAGGAGAATTCATGAACTGCTGTCCAAGGCAGCCACTTCTGCAGCTTCCGTATGTAGTCCAGGTCAAAAAGAACTGCACTTTGTCTTCTTCAGAAAACCAGACAGGTTTCTGGAATCAGATTGTAGAAGTGGTCATGTTGCTGGTTTGCGCTTGGAGAGGACAATTCTTAAAGGTAACTGTTTGCTGTTAAAGCTTGTTAAAGAGACTGCATGCTTATAAAAATTTTCTTGCCTTTTTGTTTTGGGGAGGGTATATTTTCTTCACTAGGAATTTTCTGCTCTTTTTGTTCTATTTAATGGTCTTAGCATGGAGTTGACATTGTCCAGTGAGGAAATGTAAAGTTGTAAATTTATTGATATGATGAGGGAATCTCGCATACAGACATGTACATAAAAGGATCTTTTGATGAGGATTTATGTTTTGTTCGGTGCTACCTGATGAATTAGTCGAGGTGCGCATAAGTTGATATAGACATTATCTTCACTTATAAAGAAATAATCTACAAAACTTGGTTGAAAACCAAATAACCCGTGTTTGTGTAATTCACGCATAAAACTAGTTTAAAAAATGTGAAAGACTTGACTTAGTGTTTGCATTATATCACAATTATATTTTAGTAAATGTGCATGTTGCAGATCTTGTTCATGACAGATAACCACTTCTAACTCTGAACTTCTGTCTACCTCCAGAAGATGCTGGCTCTGGGAGGCAGATTGCAGTTGGTACTGGACTTTTTGATGAAATGGAATGCGGGTACACTGCTTTAGTTTCCTTTGTTTCCCATAAATTTTCTTCCTTAAATGATTTACCAACTCTTATAACCTGTATGAAACCCATCAGCTCTAGATTTTATTTCACATTGCTGTGCTGTAGGAAGAGCCTTTTTAATTTGCAGCTAAACGTATCTTTCGCTGGATTCCCGTCATATTTTTTTTAAAAAAACCAAAAAGAATACAGAAGAGGGAAGAAGAATATAGTAGATGAAGTGGTGAGATTGGAAGAAAGCAATGTCTGAGAAGATACAACTAGCGAGCAGAGTAGTTGAACATCCAGTAGGGTTCTGTGACATAATAGTGAGTAGAAAAACCTATAAGTTAAAGAAAATGAGATAAGCCCATGTTTTCGATAGATTCCTCAGCTAAATTTATTTGCACTAATTACTCAATACGCTACGATGGGCACCTCCTCTTGGATCAAGAAAGATGCTTTTTAGCTTTTATTTGGTTTTAATCTTTCTTTGCTTCTGGCCTCCAAAGCCATATATATTGCTGGGTCAGTCACTGGTCACTGCACCAGTGGGCTCCTTTATTTTTTTTGTGCAGTCTGGTGTTCTGTACTGAATGTTGATGTGTTTTACTGAATTGTTTGTAGGCTGGTATTGAAGAGCGTTGGTTACAAGTCGAGACCTGTTGATGGCTTGCCCTTTGATCACCATAAAGGTATGTGCTAAATCATGACAAACGTATGATTGCCTTAAAGCTCATCGCTTGGATAGATCTCTCTATAATTTTAAGTTTCCAATTCATCATTTGTATATCTATTTGGCGATTGCAAATACTTCCGTTCACATTAATGTTTTTATTCCCTTCTTTATCCCATCCCATGGGTAAGTGTTTTCAGCATTTGTGTCAATTGCATGAAAACTTTGATTGCTGTGCGGTCCATCACTGTTGCAAATTAAGTGAGGCTGCTTTTCCAGGAATTGTTCCAAATGTTCAAGGACGTGTGTTAAGCGAAGCTTCTGGAGATGCACTAGTAGAGAAAGGCTTATATGTATGTGGGTGGTTGAAGAGAGGACCAACTGGGATAATAGCTACAAATCTTTACTGTGCTGAAGAAACTGTAAGTCCAAATCATTCATAAACCTGCTGCTTTACTATTCTCATCATCATGACCAAGGAATTTTCTTACAAGCTAATAGGATTAATAACATGTTTGGCCAAGTTTCTCCAAAGCCAAAATCACTTTTTTTTTTTTTTTAAAAAGCACCTTTGCTCAAAGTAGAAGTGTTTGGCCAAGTTTTTAAAAGGAAAAAAATGCTTTTGAGTAGAAGCATAAGCAGTTTTGGAGAAGCAGAAAGAAGTAGCTTCTCTCCAAAAACACTTTTTTGAAAAGTACTTTTGAGAAAAGCACTTTTAAGAAAAAACACATCTCAAAATAAGTTGATTTTTGCAGCTTGGCCAAACATGCTATAAGTCTAGAATATTATAGTTAGCTTTGCTAATTAAGACATAACAGGTCGCTAGCATATCAGAAGACGTACAGAGAGGATTGGTAACTTCAAGCTCTGGCTTACCAAAGCCCGGAAGGGACGGCCTGCTCCAACTGCTAGATAGCAGGAATGTCAAAATCGTTCCATTTGGTGGCTGGGAAAAGATCGACAGTGAAGAGAAAAGGAGAGGGAGTCTGAAAAACAAACCCAGGGAAAAACTTACCACTTGGCAGGAATTACTAGAAGTTGCCGCCAAGTGATGAAAAGTGTGTCCAGGATGGCAGATTTTGCTCACATCTGGTCGTTTTCCTGGTGAAGCATGAACTTGATAACTCCTTCAGATGTGTTGCATTTGATTGGCCCTCGGCATATAGAGGATTGACAGTGCATTTAAGGAAACATGAGAAATAATCAGTCCTGCCTAATTAACTCCTTATGGGCTCTTCTGTTCCTTGAACCTTCTACTGATGTGGTGACAGATACTAACCAGGTTCTGGCAGATGACGAGTTTGGTAACACATTCATCATTTGAAATTGAGCACTGCAGTTGTATTACAAGCTAGCATATGCATTTTTCATTTGTCCAAGTGTAACACTCCATAGAAGTTTCAACACTCGCTAAAAATAGAATTTAATTTTTTTGTTTTAAAAAAATAATCTTATATTATACTTCTATTAAAGATTTAAACCCTGGTGATTGACATTTGAGTTACTTCTCTATTTAAAAATAATTGGATATACAGTTAGGGGAATGTTATTAATTATCAAAAGTAGGTATCATTAATTATTAGTTAAGTAAAAAAAAACAAAACAAATAACAAAAAAATTGGAGGACAAGCCGTAGCCCATAAAGGGCTGTTGAAAGAAAAAGGCTTAAGGCTTTAAAGCCTTGCCTTGACGTCAAAACTCAAAAAGGTCCAAAGGAAAAGCAACAGAATATTACTATAGAACAAAGAAACAGAACGCTGCTCTGTTTATGCAGCGAACGCAGGCAAGGAAAAAAAAATTCCAGGATTCTTTACAAACCATTAAATTCTTGGTATGTGAAATACCCTATTGTCAATTACCCCACATAGTAATAGGTAAGAATTGAATAGTTAATTCCTTTCTTTCTCCGTATCATCAAATTTCATGTTTAGGTATGAAACTTTGAAATCAATTAAAATGCACTGGTTGTTGTAGAATCAATTATTTGACGGGCATAAATTGGATTGGGTCTACGTATTGGCTCAAGGAATTTTGAGGTGAGTGGATATAACCCTTTACTAAAATGGTTCTACTTACAAAAACATGCCCACAAAGTGATTGATAAAATGCTTTAAAGAGTCAACATGTGCTTAATTGGAACGAGTATTCTTGTTGAAGCTTATATATTTTACTTGAGAAGTATAACCGTCTATTCTTCATATTTTTATGCTTTTTACATGATCTTACATGTTAAAGTTTCAAGAGTTAGATAGAGCTTATAGACATACCTTGAGTAATTATTTCATGCTTATGCTATGTATACACTCAAGTATATTATTATGAATACTGATAGAGCACTTTCAAACAAGATTTAGACTTGAAAGTCACAAGAAGAAGTTTTAGAAAGAAAAGATTTTTGGGAGTATCCTTTATTCTGAGAAGGGGTCATCGTCCAGGCCGAGGGTCCTGATCTAGGCGTTGACTTCCTGAACTACTTGTGCCAAAGTAGGGAGCACACGAGCCGAGGGTCTCGTTGCTAAAAATTTACTTAGCCATGCTAAGGTATGATACATGAGCGCTGAGAACCATGAAGCGAGTGACACCTCGTGGATTGGGCCTATTCGATCAGGTTGGGGTTGAACTTGTGGCGATCACACGATGACTAAGACAAAAATAAGTCAGGATAGTTGGAACTCCCAAAGTATAAAGTTAAGTATTTTTATTATAAGAAAGAAAAAGAAAAGAATTTCTTTTAGAATATTCATAAACTGCTATTATGCAATTATTTTAGAATTGTTCTTATAAGCTTTATGTTTTACATGCATTTAGAATCTTTGCTCGTAATGTATATGTTATTAAAGTTTCTTCCCCTGTCGTTGAGACTCACTGAGTACAATGGATGGTACTGATGTTCTCTTTTGGGAACCTACGTTGGTCTGCGGTACAACATAGGAACCAGTTTTGCAGGCGAGTAGGCTACGGGTTAGGACTTCCTTCTCTTCCAGTGCTATTGGTGAGCTCCGCTTTTGTTCGTGGAGTATTCCTCAGAGCATCTTTACTTAGCTATTTCTTTGTTTACTTAGAGAACTGGCCAGGAAATCTCATGTCCTGGGCAGTGCGTCAGTTTATCAGTAGAGGCTTCATAGACACAGTCGGTGGGTTAAGATTCATATGTTTTTGATAATAACTTAGCAGCATTTCATTGATTACTACAAATAAAGTTTTAAAGTTGGCTTATTTTAAATATTTATTATTTAAAAGTATTTGGTTATAGTAGTGCCTTGTGGCATGTAAAGTTTGAAGTTATAATAAAGATTTGATAAGCGCAGATGGTTCGCTCGGTCATATTTAGTGATCGGGTGCCGATCCCGGCTTGTTCAGAAAATGGGTCGTGACACCAAGTGTGTTTCCAGTCAAATATGATCCATTTCAGTTAAGGGTGGTAAATGGAAATGTTAGGGGAGAGTGGTCGAAAACACTCTTTGTTTATCCAAACACTCAACATATGCTCTTCTTGTTTATCGTTTTCTCCAGTTCTTCTTTTACCAGGTCTCATTGTTAATCTACATGTGATTTCGATGATCTGACCACTAGAAGTATTATGTATATTTGGTAATAAGCGTTTGTTAGCTAGTTCATCATCGAGGCTAGAAATTACAAAGTTATCGGCAAGTCAAGCTAGTAAAGCACTTGAAGAATTGGTTGCTGAAGCCTGAATTAGACTTCGTTATGGTTCACTAATGGAATGAATGAAGGTAGATTTAGTTAGTAGCCTTTATGGTTCTCTTTGCTACTTTTGTTACTTTTGTTGTTTCTTCAAAAGATTCCAGAAACGATCTCCACTTAGTGTAGAGTGCTCAATATTTCTTTCGAAGTCAAACCATAGATATTACAAACCGATATGGAGAACAAAAATTACAACCAAGAACTAGCATTTGATTTTTTATTGGTTATCTTTCTTGAGAAAATAGCTCCTTCCCGTTGTAAGCCTAACAAATAGAACGTCGAGTAGAAAGGAAAAGGGTATCAACACAAACGTAAGTTGACACCTTTAGCATATGTGCTTTATATTATAAGGTACTAACACTTACTGTAATAGTTTGGGAGCTGGTCGTATATTTTGTCGGAGAAGAGAATAATTGGGAAAGTAATATTAGGGTTGTTTTTAGAAAGCCACGTGAGGAGTCTAGTAAGGCACGTGTATTGCCCATCAACGGCCAAGATGAAGCTCAGATTAACGGACCAGGTTAATTCAAGTGAATTAGTAGTTGGGCTCAATATTCAGTTACTGGGCTTAGCTGTTATAACAAATTGGGGCTGAGGGAGATTATTCAGTTTTTGACCGGTAATTTCTTTTTCTATCTCTCTTCTTTCTATCTTCCTTCTTCTTCTTCTTCTTCTCTAACTCTAATCCCTTGACCTAATTCAATTAATCTTCATTACAAGTGACATTTCAGCTGATTGAGGATTAATTCAGTAGTTCTTTTCCCATTTCAGTTCTGTATGGTGAACTTGTGGATTGTAATTTCAATTTGGTGATCAATAAAATTCCATTTTTGTGTTTTTGATTGAATTATTTTTGGAATATAACAACTTGGTATCAGAGCAACTCCTGGCCAATCAATGACGATAACAGAAACAAGGTCCAAATCCATGGAGGACAATGTTAGAAAGCTGGAAAATCAGTTACAAATTCATATCGAAAATTCACAGAAAAAGGCAGAAACGACTGATGCAAAAATTGATGATCTAGCTAAGAAGTTGGATATGTTGATGGACAAGCTGCTTCCAAATCAAGCAGGTATTCTGGGTAGTGCTCCAACTGGGGAAATCCAACTGGAAGGAATCAGCAACGGATCGAGAGGAGATCAATTTGTTCCTCCTAGAGCAGGGGAGAGAGTTCAAGGCCACCACAACTCCAGTTCTCGAATGGAGATTCTTCTGGACATTTCCCACTAAGCGATTTATATGAATCATTAATTTTCCTTTCATGGAGTTTCTCCCTTATTCATATAATTCCGTATTTCAAAAAAAATGTTTTAATTTAAGTAAAATAACTGGCCCTAGTGTCTATTTTTACCCAAGGCTTTGCTACGTCAGGGTATTTTAACTGAAATACACCAATCTGTGATATTAGTACCTGCTTTCAATCCGAGTGGTTAATANACCTGCAAGGAAGGGCTGAGGCATGGTATTTCTCCTACCAATTAAGCAAAGGCCATGTTAGTTGGCAAGAATTTTGTGAGGAACTATGCAAAAGGTTTCAAGATGCTGAAAATAGTAAGTTCAATCTTATTGGTGAATTCAAGAAAATAGAACAAAAAGGTACTGTCAATGAATACCTAGAAAAGTTTGAAGACTTGAAAGCATGGGTTCTTATTAGGAGCCCTACTATACCAGAGGATTTTTTCTTAGAATTCTTTGTAGAGGCACTGAAGGAAGAGATAAGGCATACTGTTAAGATGCTTAACCCCTATACATTGAGCCAAGCTGTTGAGAAAGCTAGGAATCAATAGAGGGTTATAGAGACCTGGAACAGGAAAGGGAAATCAATGTGGGGAAGGGGGGTTAACCCAATTAACTCCACATCTTCTAACCTACCAAGTTCTAATCCAACTGTTAGAAGTACAGGGAATGTTAGCCAGGGCAGCAAATTGTTTGAGTCCAGAAGAGCTCAAGGTCTATGCTACAAATATGGAGAGAAGTACCACCCAGGGCACCAATGCAAGAACAAGCAGTTGAATGCTATGACTGCTTCTACAGAACAGACTGAAGAAGACCCTATGTTTCCCACAGAAGAGATGGGGGAAGGAGATGAAGAGTTACCTGAGGTGGAGATTATGGATGAAGCTATAAGTTTAAATGCATTATCAGGAACTGAGGTTCCCAACACTATCAAGCTGAGAGAGAGATCTAAAAGGAACACCATGACCATTCTGCTAGACTCAGGAAGTACTCACAGTTTCTTAGATTTAGAATCTGCCAAAAAATGGGCTGTCTAATCAAGGAAGCAGTGCCTATGAGAGTTACTGTGGCCAATGGTAACCATCTCATCATCTTGCACACTTGTCCTAAATTCAAATGGAGTATACAAGGGGTGGACTTTGAAGACTCAATGAGACTCATCAGATTAGGGGGTAATGACATGGTACTAGGGGGAGACTGGATGAAAGCACACAATCCAGTTCTATTGGACTTTATAGAATATAAAGTCCAGGTGACTCATAAAGGCAAGAGGGTGGAACTCAAAGGAATTTACAGTCAAGTTGAGCTTAAAAGCATGACTAATTCTGGGGTTAAGAATCTACTTAAAAGGGGGCAAGCCATCTGGGCTCACCTCTTTACAATTTCAGCTACAGAGTTGCAGTCAGAAGAGAAGATACCTGCATCCATCAGCAGTGTTTTGGAGCTCTTTCCAGATGTGTTTTCTGAACCAAAGAGGCTGCCACTAAGGAGAAACCATGACCACTTCATTCCCCTGAAAGATGAAGCAAAACCAGTCAGCATAAGACCATACAGGT